AAATAACCGATATCACTCAGAAAAGAAACCCACTCAGCTAAAGCGTAATTTACGATTGTGTAACATAAGAAAAAAGAGTTAGTGACGTTTAAAATCCGCTCTACCATTTTGTCCAAGATGGTGGGGCTCTTTTTCACCAACAAAAATCGCAGGATTTGTACTAGATCGGTTACTATATAACTCTTTAACACTTAGAAAATAAATCAATTGTATTAACACTTAATGTACGATTTCCCTTCATAGTTTTGCTAAGTAATAACGCGACTAGTTCTTTATAAGATTCTTATGATTCTCAACTTTATCGTGAGAGATCAGATAGTTTTACTTGATTGCATTACATCTTACCTGGATCACTTCATTAAAGAGAAATAAATATCACTGATTCTTGTATCGCTATCCGATCAGTAAAATGGCAGTCTATCGGAGCGAGTGGTGGATTATTACTTTGTTAAACCTAACTGATAATTTAGAATTGTAATATAGGCCTACTATTATCAAAATTTTCTAAAGACACGACCAAAAGTAGACAAAATAAGCTTGCACCTTCTACAAAATACACTCTAAAGCAGTGGTTCCTAACTTTTTGGAGGTACCGAACCCCACCAGTTTTATATGCGCGTTTACCGAACCCTTCTTAATAGTTGTATCGTCCTCACTGACAAAATCCGTATCTGAGTGTATCATATGAGTCGGCTGTGTGACTTGACCTACGCGGAAGCCCTGAGACTGACTTAGCGAACCTCTTGGGTTCGATGGAACCCACTGTTTTAAGCTCTTTTGATTTTCTTCCTTTTATTTGTTTCGGCTCCCTAAGGAACATAGGCGTAGGCAACACTCGTCAACTCACTTGATTTTTATGAAGATCGAACCCTAATAATCCAGCCTCCTCCTGAACGTCATGGGCGTCAGCTATTATCATTAAACTGGTTATTACAGCTTCTTCAACCAGTACAATTAGTTCTGAATTTGTTGTTGACTGTGTGCGAGAAGACAGCGCACATCTGATAAATCCAAGACTTCAAGCTCTTGTGTCCGTTGGATTCCAATTTTTTCCTCTTGCTTGTTTCATTATACAATCAACCAGTCAATGAAATACCCAAATCGTATTCCAATGTGAACAATACTTTTGCTATTGTATGTACATTCATTGTATGACCTTAATCTAACAAACTTATAATCCAAGTATGTACTGTATCATAACAGAGACTGTTCCAAAGATAAAACATAAAAAGACTTTCCTAAACGAATTAGCACCGCTACAATATTTTTTTTTCCTGACACGACTAATCATCATTTTTTAAAGGATAATGCATCTTAAGGGGAATATAATTGGCATCGAGTAAAGTGTTAGGGAACGACAATCATACAGCGTAATTATTATTTTTTTCCGGACTGTCGCACACACAAACACACTCACACACATGCACACACACACACACACACATATATATATATATATATATATATATATATATATATATATATATATATATATATATATATATGGGAGGGCGCCAAACTGAAAGTTCGTCCCGGGCGCCGGGAGGGGTCGCTACGCCTCTGTTGATCCAGTGGCGTGCAGAGGGGGGGGGGGGGCGGACGGGGCCCAGGCCCCGGGTATCCACCACTGGGGGGCATCCAGCGGAGGCGGAAATTTTTAATTTTTATTTACTCTTAATTTTTTTTTTTTTTTTTTTTTTTTTTTTAGTAATTTAAAAATTGTTTCGATATGTCTTGTCATATTGTCATCGCATATTTCCAACTTTTTTCACTCAAAAAAAATATTTAAACACTCAATCATCTGTCACTTGTTTTAACATTACACTGTCCATATATATAATATAATAAATGTAGGGGCATCGTTTAGAGTACTTGTGACCAAGTTATTCCCATGCACTGTCGGGGCATCTTTAAAGTAATATGCGCGTATTCGTTATACTCATTTTTAAGGACATCAGTCGAGTAATTAAAACATATTTATTTTTATACACTGTAGGGGCATCTTTAAAGTAATTATTCGTATATTCATTATAATATATTTTATGAGCATTTAGTAATATGCCTACTTCACTTTATAATACATTTTAAAGGCATCCATACAGTAAGTATGCCCATCTTCATTTTATATATTGTAGGGGCATCTTGAAAGTAATTATGCTTATATTCATGTATTACACTCGAAGGGCATGCAACAGTAGTTACATCAATCATCGTTGTTAACATTGGGGGCATCTCTAAAGCTTTTTTTAATGTACTTCTTCATTATGATCCATTTTAAGGGCATCCAAAGGGTAATTATGCCCATATTATTATTATAATTTTTTGGAGCATCTTTGGTGAAATATATGGCCATTTGTTGTGTAATAACGCCCAAACTTTTTATTTTTGTTAAATTGTATGGGCAGCCTTCAGTGGCGTAACTAGGATTTTCGGCCCCTATGCAATAATTAACAATGTTAATAATGTTAGTCGTCCGACCTCCTCCACACTGAATGCCACTGCCTGTACACTAAGAAAGGACTTTGCGCCTTTTTGAAATTAAATTATTTCTACAGTAGAAAAAAAAACTTGAGTTCATTTTTTTAAAATTATTTATATAAAATAAATATCAAAATTCCAATGTAAAAGATTTAACTTTTTAAAAGAAGGAAAATTACCCCTATTTGCCTTGGGCCCTATGCCTTGCTTACTCTAGCTTTACGGTAGCTACGCCACTGGCAGCCTTTAGTATATATTTATTTTTCTGCATTATATAAGCATACTTAAGAATAAGAATGCCCATATTGTTTTTGATACACTGTAGCGACAATCTCAAGAATACGAATCAACATATTGTTTACTAAACATTGTAATGATATCATTCAGAATAATTACGCCCATATTGATTTTTACAAATAGGAGGAGCATGCTTAAAGTAGTGTTAAAGTTAAAGTATTTTAAAGTAGAGCTTTCTTTAAAGTAATTGGGGGCACAAACAGAGCCAGTTTTATTTCAGTTAATAGTAGAGCTATCTATAGAGTTATTGAGCCCATAATGATGTAATGAAATGTGGGGATGCGGTGTGGGTTTTTAGGCTATGTAAGCCGTTAGTGGATTATCCCCCACCTTAACTAGACAGACGTTACCTGGGTGTTAAATTTGTGAAAACGCGTCCAAGTTGTGGGGAGGGTCTGACATAGCATAGTGAATTTTTAAACACAGTCCGGTGTAGAAGTGGGGTTTTTTTAGGGCTGGCAGCTTTAGCCAAACAAGGTACACTTCTGTTATATTCAAGGTTCAGATAGTTTGAGAGTATCTAGCATCACCCATCTCTTTAAAGAGTTGAAGTTTTGACCAAGTGGTTTACAGAAAAAAATCTGAAACTTCTCTAGTTCAATGCACACTCTCACCTGTATTAGTTACACTATAGGAATTTCTAAACAGGCCAAGAGAGAAACATCCCATCAATAAAGGCGTGTCTGACGCCCTAATTGTAGACACGGAGAACGTTTTTGTCCCTGCGGTCCCGGGCAGTAATACAACACCGGATGAGACTCTTTTGTAGTGCATCACAGACGCCCCCCCTCCCTACCACGACACGTCCCGCAAATGTCTCCCCCTTTCCAACCCCCCCCCCCCCCTCCCCCCAAGTTCCAACCATTCATTCCATTTGGATTTAGCTGGCTGTAGTCAACGTTTTCATCTTAATTAAGATAAGTACAATTTTTAAAAAATGCTTTTCTATGTATATAAACGTCCAACATAACTTATTTGTTTTTTTTAACTAAGCTATATATATATATATATATATATATATATATATATATATATATATATATATATATATATATATATATATATATATATATGGGCATCTTCCGCTTGAGTTTGCCCCGGGCATCTACATAGGTCTGCACGCCACTGACTTGATCGCCATTGTGTAACATTCTTTATGTCTTCATTTTCGTACAACAAACTAAATTGATACTTAAAAAACTCAATATTAATTATTTTCAAACTAAATTTTCATTTTACAAATTATCATTTTGATTGACATAATGTGAAAAGAACAAAATTAAACCAAATATTATACCCTTTACAAAACTTGCAGTTGTGTTCGAAAAAAGTATACAAACTATGTCCCTTTGCACCACTTGCTCAACCGAAGAAATAAATACCTTTTTAAACTTTGTTTTGATGTTGGAAAAATTAAACAACAATTATCTAACTAGCATGGTTTGATAAAGTGCAATGAGGTAGGTAAAAAGGGGAATTTTAAATACGACCGTTTTGTACACTGAATGTACTGTTTACTTATTATTATTTTTGATCAACAACAGTGTTTAAGTTTATATTTTCCATCTGCGTTATTGTTTGCTTTTAGGTTTTCGTATGTGTTTTCGTTTGTGTTTGCATTTATGTTTTTTTGGGTTTTCGTTAGCGTTTCTGTTTGTGTTTGCCTTACGTTTGCAGTTGTGTTCTGGTTTTTGTTGTGGTTGATTGTGGTTAGGGTTAAGGTTAGAATTAGAGTTAGGTTTAGGATTATGTGTTATTTTCTCAAAAGTCCATTTTTTTGCATATGGACATTTAATTGGGAAAGTAATATATCTCATACTCGGGTAAAGCCGGGTATGTACTGCTTAATAAACGCACAAGTCACGGTCCTTTTTTTTTAAAACCGGGGCCAGTGCAGAGCCTGGCCGTGACGGCTAGTATGTGGTCCGAATTTTGTTTACGCCATGTTTAGAGCTAGATTCTAGATATTAAAACACTATAAAGGAATCCCTTTAGATCTGCCATTTCGAGTATCACAACCTTTCACCGCACAAATCACCATTTTGAATGTAGATCTGTACACCGAGATGGCGGATGTTTACATTCACGAACGGACGTGACGTCTTATGAAAGGACTCTATAAATAGAAGCTACGCGATGTAGGTTGATGCCTCTATCGTTTGTGAACAACTCGCTTCCTTGTTGAGTCGTAAGCGAAATCGTGAAACCGCGTAAAACGTGTTGTAATGTGGGAAAAGGTTTAGTTCAACATTTACCGGGATGCGAATAGTTGTTTAATTTTTGAAAAGTTGTTTAATTTTAGAACATAGTTGTTTAATAATAATAAAAAAAAAATAGAAACGTTAATAATTAAATCTAATTATGAGTAGAAAAGATTTAGAAATAGTAAAAATAGAAGAAATATCAGGATACAGATCTAATTCTAGCGTAAATGAATTTCGGGATGATATATCGTCATCCGAAGAAGTAAGTATTATTAAGAAGTTTAAGTAGGCCTATTAAGTATTTAAAAAAAATTAAATAAATGTATTAGACCGAGAATCTCTAGATCTTTAACTTTCTATAGTATATTCTATACGTCACGTTTAATTAAATTAGTTAAGGCTTTTCTAATTAAAAAGTTTTTATTATATTTGATTTAGGGCCTAATTATAAATTATATTACTATTAGATCTAGTAGATCTATAGGCCAAAGCTTCTTTCTTCTTCTGCATTCTTAATTTTAATTTAGTTTATGGTGGATAATTTAAACAACATTGAGTTAACAGTCTAACAACAAAGCGCCTAAGTGACATTTTCGATATTGATAAATAAATATTTATTTAACTACTAGATCTAGGTCTAGATCTAGATCTAGATTATCTAGATCTAAGTAGGCCCTATATATATATATATATATATATATATATATATATATATATATATATATATATATATATATATATATATATATATATTGTTTGCTAATTTTATTATTATTTGCGAGGCATTACATGTTATTGATAAGATAGTTTTAGTAGATCAGGGCCTAAATGCAAATTTAAGTATTTATAAAAATTCGAAACAAAAAGAAGGCTAGATTCTAGATCTAGGGCCTACTTGTTTTTCTAGGCTAGGCCTAGTTCATTCATAGGACAGAAATAATAACCCGCCGAAAAGGCATAACAAAGGAAGGGCTTGGTAGGCTATTCTTTTAATGTCACGGAACCGGATTTCTTTCTAGGAATTATTTCAACATACGGGGACGAGAGAGCATTTTTGGGAGGGTATGGGGAAATTGCGAAAAGCGAAATGGCGAGGGGGGGGGAAATGCGAGAAGGGCGCGAAAACGGTCGGTCACGTGACTTTTTGTCTCGCATTTTACCACAACCTGATACTTAGGCCTACACTGGGTGGCGTTGAAATGCGAAGATTTCTGCGAAAAATTTACCGCACCCGATTTTCAGTGGTATTTGGTCCAGACTTCAAAGACGTTTCGTTTACATTGTTAAAACTTCCGATTTTTCCGTACTAGACATACTGATGATTTGTCAACTCCTCCCATCTTTTGTGTCGACTTAGAATACCACCTTGTTCGAAACCGACGGAAATACCGCCGACGATAGATCAACTTCTGTCTTTTGTGTGGAACGCCGAGGCCGCCTGATTTACCGTCTTTGAAGATCACCGTGCCCGGATCCGCTACCGCCGGAAACATATTTTCTATTGTTGCATAGAAATTATGTATAAACAGAGCCGGCGTTAGGAATACGCGGGGCCTAGGGCCAACCATCCGCGCAGGGCCTTTCCATTATATATATATATATATATATATGTATGTATGTATAAAGGCCTATATAATGTGATGTACACATAATAACACAAATGTTTTGGAGTTTATAAGCTAATGTCAAACTTTCCAGTATAATAACAGATTTTTATCTCTCCCATGTATTAACCCAATGTTCGTAGATTTTTTTTTTTCCTTTTCTAAGATATTAAATCACTTTTGACAGTTATGTAATTCATACCAAATCACTTAAAAAAATTTAATCACGTGCCAAATAATTAGGAAAATAATGTTTACAATACAGCGAACTCGGCCTGATGTATCAAAACAGTATAGACTTCAAAATTTGTTTAGAATTCATACAATATTTTAAAACCAAAATCATTATTGTCTTAATTATTGAACGGGTGAATCCTTAAGGTGACACAACATAACAACAGTTTTAACTTTCTTCCAAAAAATAATAATAAATCACTCTGTTTAATGCCGCCTGATATAGATCCTAAGCCCCCCCCCCCTCCCCGCCTCGTCGCCCTCCTCCCACCCCTCTGCACGCAACTGAATGTTAATTTTGTTATACCAAGACAAGTAGGCCTACATATAGAGTTTCTTCCAGGCATCTCTTCAGGGGAGGGGGGCGCAAGCCCGCCCCCCCCCCCCCGAAAACGAAATGAAATTTATATAATTCATATAGAAAATATATACTTTTAACAGTGTCCGCCCCCCCCCCCCCCAAGGAAAGTCTACCGCCCCCCCCCCCCGAAAATTTCAAGTGCCCCTCCCCCCCCCCCCCGGAGAAAAAAGTCTGGAAGAAACACTGTACATATACGACATTATACGACATCTACAACAAGAAAGTCAGGACTAGAGTTCATCAGGTCACTAACTGTCTACTATAGACATCCCGTCTGCTCACTAAAAGGACGTCTTCATCGGTCCGCATACAATAGGGTATCTCTTTACGTCGTGGGGTAATTCTCGACCGCCATCTCCAGTCAGCTCAGGTCAAATGCCAGGCGACCGTACCCTACACAAAGGGTAGGCGTGACACTATTTTTGTATCGAATTACGGCCTGTCCCAGTTCAGGTGGGACTCACCAACATCAACCGTGGCCTCAGTTATAACAATCAACAACGTCGGCATCCGACCATTTAGTTTTTCCCAATTGAATTCAGCAACATTTTTTTTAAGTTTACAAACTTATTCAGATAACACTGACAGTGCTGAAGCGCGGGGCCCCTTCAAGCGCGGGGCCTATGGCGACCGCCCCGTTCGCCACCCCCTAACGCCGGCTCTGTGTATAAACATGAGCGGGCTAGATTTTTAAAATTAATGACGACTGAGACGGGATTTTCCTCTCGCTAACGAGAGCGAGCTATGACAGTATGTAGCACAGCAACGATATGTTAGGATTTTGAAATAGATCGATCTAGATATAGATCTATCTATCTTCTTAGTATCTATCTATATAATAAAATCTAGATAAAAAATAACAACATACAACACTCGTGTTAAAGGTTATGACTAAATCACAAATGCTTGTTTATTTTAAAACAAAAAAAATAATAATTTAAATAAATAAAGATGAAAAAAGCTTGAAAAAAACTTTTTTTCCGCAAAAAGTGTCTCGCTTTTTCCCCTTAATTCCGCAGGTATGTCTCGCATTTTCCCGCCTCGCCATTTCGCGTCTCGCAATCTCCCAACACCCTTTTTGGGAACAAGAATCTAGATTCTAGGTGTGGGGAAAAAAAGGAGTGTAGCGTAAGAGATTCGAGGCTTTACTTTATCACATTATTCACGTCATTATTGTGACATTATCTCTGTCACATTTTATGATTATATATAGATCTAGAATCTAGTATATATAGAGTCTAGGCCCTACCTTAAAAAAAAAACAAAACAAAAAGAAAACAACCTTATAATATATATTTTGATATAATAATTAATTAGACTCTAGATCTAGATCTATAAAATATTTAATTTAAAATATAGATCTAGAATCTAGGCCTATCACTCTATTTGTTTTAGTCCATGTCTATTTTTAATATTAATTTATTTGGCCTAGTCAATGAATAAAAAAAAATATCGTAGATCTGGAATCACCATCTATTCTAGATCTAGAATCTAGATTAAGATTTAGATCTAGATCTATCTATCTATAATCTTTAATAAATAATATAGGTCTATTAGGCCTAATATTAATTAATATTTATTAAAATTAATAGGGCCAAATAGTTTTAGTGTTTTGATTTGGCCTATTATCATTTTGACATTTCAGGCTGAGTATTTCTTGAACTTTGTGGGCAGAATTTCAATCAAGGCCTAAATCTATATATTAGTATATAATACTATACATACATATATATATATATATGCCCATTTCTGATGGGTACCTGACTCACTGCTGGGTATAGCGCTGTCCACTCTGTCCCAATGTATGCTGGGGTAATTAAAACAGATAAACTCAACTTCATCTACCAATGTGTATACTACGCTAACAGAAAAATGCAAAGAGAAAAGTACGCACACAGAAAATGTGCACACAGATATATGCCTAAAATCAGCATCAATATGCCTTACAGCTGTTCTGACAAACGCCTCATTTTCTGTTCATTTTTTTTACAGAGTAAAGATGGAGAGTACAGTGTTGGTGGGGACTACAGCTCTAGAGACAGCATTGGGTCAGCTGTACTACAAGATGGTGTTGAGTTTGCACCTGGTGACCCCGACAGAGGAAGCTGGTCTGGAAAGTTTGATTTCCTTATGTCGTGTGTTGGTTACGCTGTTGGGCTGGGGAATGTATGGAGGTTCCCATACTTGTGTTATAAAAATGGAGGAGGTAAATACATTTTGTTCACTAACCCATTTCTAAATAGATCTAGGTCATTTAGATGTAGAGTTGATTTTGATAAGCTATACTCACAATACAAATCTGTATAACAGAAATCACATGTAACAATTCTTTGCTTTACCTACAATGCTGGCGGAGCAGCACTTTTTAATTTTTTTAAATCTTAGGTTAAATTCAGGACTAGCTAGAGATATTAAAAAGACAAACATCTTTAATTTGTTCTCTCACTTTACTTTACTCAATATTTTAATACATTAGTTTAGTAATAGGTTAAGTGTTTAAGGCTTTATGCATTATTGTTATTGGTGAGACTAGCCGTACAGGTATGTTTTAGTATAAGTATTTAAACTGTTTAATGCAAGTTTAAAAATCTAATTATAAACCTAAATGCCCTGTGGTTGTGATGTAAGTTAATAGTATTTTATTTAGTGTTGAGAAATAATATATTTACAATATAATCTTACTTGGAAAAATGTCTTAAACATGTAAATTGTATACTATGATTTTCCCATAGGTGCCTTTCTCATCCCATATACTTTAATGTTGATTGGTGTTGGCCTGCCACTGTTTTTTATGGAACTAGCCTTTGGTCAGTTTGCTAGTCTCGGACCTATAACCATATGGAGAATCAATCCATTATTTAAAGGTTAGCTTTTATTATTCATAGACTATAACAAAAGACATTACAATAACGATTGACCAACACACTAAGACCCCGGACAGACAGCATAAATCAGAGGAGAGCTAAATATGTCAAGTTATTTTTAGATGCTTTATTGATCTCTGTGATGACTTTCAAGTATAGAGTTTTCAGTGTAGAACCAGCAGACATTATTGATTTTTATAAGGCTGAGGTCACTGACTCAGGCTACACTCATAGAGAGCACATCATCTATAATTACTATGAATATTTCACTAATATCAGTGCAATTCTTGTTATATAAAACAAGAATAAAATGAGGCACACTTATTTGAACTTGTATATTTTATTTAGTATTTATTTATGATGTGTCCATTTTAGTCCTGTTTTATTTAAAATGTGGGTCACTCAACCCAGAACCCTAAAAGCAGTTTTTCTTCAACCAGACAAGCTTATTTAGAGCAGCGCATTATAAACATAAATGCATATTTACAATACAAGTCTATTGTTTTAAACAGGAATACCATTTTTTTATCTTAAAGCACCACCTTTTAGCTAAGTAATCATTTATTAAAGACCTATATATAGGTCAATTTCTTTAACATGGAGAATTTCATCTAAAATATTTCATTTAAGCCAGTTCTAGTCTGTTTTTTTTTAATAAATATAATTTGACACACTGATTTTAACCCTTATTTTATATTATTTTGCATATTTAAAAAATCTGTTATGAATTTTTTAGTAGGTCAGTTTTTACCCAATTCATAAATGTGCCTTTATTAATACTTTTTTTTAAAAACTGGCCAATTACATTTACAATCATTTTTTGTAAGTCGACTTTCTGGTCTACATATGAATTCTAAATTGTATGTAAATTAATAAGAATTGAGTATATTAGCAAGTACTTTAAACTCCCTTTAGTCATAGAAGTAAGAAGCTGTACAGTGTTATACCCAAGGCAAGGTGTTTTGCCGACATAGAAAAAAATAACTTAGTTTTTTAAAATGTAAGGTTAGATAACTTAAAATTCTGATGTACATTAATATAGTAGTAACCTTGTTGCCTAAAAGAGTAAACAATTGAAAAAAAATGTTAAAAATTAATAAAAACTATTCTTGTGATTTGGTTATGTTATCAAGAAATTTGTAGTATATTATCTCTAATTAGGGTCTGCTTGTCCAAACTGAGCATGTTTTATGGGCAGTTAAAATTAACGCTGGTTAAAACTTTCTGCAACACGAATCACAATACAATTATTATTGGTGTTGACGTAAACAATGAACTCACTAAGTATTAAAAGCTAGACTGTTTTCCTCCACAGGTCTAGGCTACGCCATGGTTATAGTATCTTGGCTCATCAGTCTCTACTACAATGTTGTCATTGCTCAAATTTTGTTTTACCTGTTTGCGTCTTTTACGGATGCTCTGCCATGGACGTCATGTGGAAACAGCTGGAACACAGACGCCTGCCTGGTTCATGATCTCAATCAAACGTTTATCAACGGTAACTAACAAAGAAATATGCTTCTTATTAATGGATTACGCTCTGGTAAACAAAAAAATTAACACTAGAGAGCTAACAACTTTTTCTTTATAGCTTTATTAAGGTACATCCGCATGTTTCCATTAAAAAATATTGGTGGGAAAATCTTTATCACTTTGACAACAACTGCCATCTTGAAAAATTAACCTATTCATAGGATTTCCATCATTCATTAAGTATTATATTTTAAACCCAATTAAGAATGAATTCAAAATCTTCTACCATAATTTTGGGGTCCTCAGCTAAAAAATTTAAGTGCAGATCTTCAAACTAATTTATTATGGATTTTCAAATTGTGGGTCCATTAAAAATTATTAAATTTAAGACCCCAAAATTTAGTGTTTTTACCGGACCCAAAAGCTCTCTGGTATTAAAAGTTTTTTTTTAACAGCGTCCACCCCCTTAAAATTATTGAAGGCAAAATGGTTTTATTTTTAAGCTTGTCTTTAAGTATTGAAGTTACGGTTATTGTAAGAGTCAGGTTCAAAACAAGATTGCTAGGAAATTCAGTGTTTGCGTTCCTACTCGAACTTGAATTATACAGTCTTTTAAATTATTGAGAGAGTAGTAAAATTCTTGACAATATTTGGTTTATGATGACGTGGATGAGAAAAATAAGCGTATGTTAGTCTGTTTACAGGAAATAGAGAAATTAGTGTACGCCAGAATAATGATAAGGAAGAAAAATATAACACATGTTAAAATAATGATAGGGAAGAGTAAAGTTAGTGTGTGGCTAGTATAATGACACAAATGCAAACCAAAGGCAGTTTGAATCCCGGTCATAAGCTTCAGCTATTCACTCTTGTCCTATTATCCACACGTTGACCTAATATCATAATGGAGATAAAGAATAAAAGTATTGTGCTGGGTACATTATTTATTAACATGCCAAGCCACAGAAGTAGGGCCATCAATCTC